GAAATAGATCTGGGATTGGGTGAATTGAGGTGGAAAACGTGTAAATTGAAAGAAAATCAGGAATAGTTACCAAAAAAAAAGGAAGAGCTACCAGCTTATTATGAGTCTAGGTCATATTTTTGAGGCCTTTGCTTCTCTGTGTTAACTGTGAATGTATAATAAGGAAAAATATTTCAGTGTTATAAAATAATATATTTCTCAGAAGAGGTAATAATAGCTCACACGTTTATTCCTGCTGTGTATGTCAGGTATTGTGCTGTTTCTTTACACAGTTGAACTCATTTAATCATTATAACATCCATATGAAATAGGTCCTTTTGTTATCCTTATTTTACAAATGAGGAAACTCAGACACACGGAGGTTATGTAACTTCTCTTCCTCAAAGTCATACAGGCAGTAAGTGGCTGAGTAAAGAATTGAGCCAATGCACTCTGTCTCCAAACTCCAAATTCTTATTCCCAGTGCTGTTGTCTCCCTTCATTGTCTAGTTTTTCAAGTTTTTTGAATTTGAAAAAACATAATAAAATTGATTTTCCTTTATTCAGGAGAGATTATGGCACATCTGTGGCAATACCAGACTAGAATTTTTGAAAGATATAAATCCCAGTCTCCTATTTGTTACTTAGTTGCTGATCTCTGAAAATTACTCATTTGTTTTAGATTTTTTATATTTACTTATAAATGAGAACTTAAGTATCAGGTGAAAAATTTAAAAATCCACATAGAAAATCTTTCAGAAAACTTTTTTCTTGCTACAATAGATTTCACTATTAGTGGTTTGGATTACCAAAGTCATCCTACCAACATAGTTTTTATTAAAATAGAAGTTAGGAATTTTCCTTAACTCTTGTTAATTACTTAGAACCTACAGAGATCAATTAAAATGACTTGAATGAAAATGATAAGCATAGTTTATTTTTTTTTTAAAGATTTTATTTATTTATTTGAGAGAGAGAAAGCACGAGGAGGGGGAGGGCCAGAGAGAGAAGCAGACTTCCTACTGAGCAGGGAGACTGATGTGAACTCGATGGAGGACTCCAGGATCATGTCCTGAGCCGAAGGCAGTCGCTTAACCAACTGAACCACCCAGGTGCCCAGCATAGTTTATTTAAAAAATACTGTAAATATGCTTCCTTCCAGCTGGCATGTCTATTAAAATATGTGCAATTTCTTTGTTTTTATTTTTTTTTAAAGATTTTATTTTTTTTTTTTTAAAGATTTTATTTATTCATTTGACAGACAGAGATCACAAGTAGGCAGAGAGGCAGGCAGAGAGAGAGAGAGAGAGAGAGGGGAAAGCAGGCTCCCTGCTGAGCAGAGCGCCCTGATGCGGGGCTTGATCCCAGGACCCTGAGATCATGACCTGAGCTGAAGGCAGAGGCTTAACCCACTGAGCCACCCAGGTGCCCCAAAGATTTTATTTATTTGAGAGAGAGCATATGAACAGGAGGAGAAAGAATGGGGCTGGGGAGAGGGAGAAAGAATCTCTTAAACAGATTCCTCACTGAGCACAGAACCGGACATGGGGCTCAATGCCGAGACTCGGAGACCATGACCTGGGTGGAAACCATTCAGAGAGTTCGAGAATTCAAGAGTCAAATGCTCAATCGACTGAGCCACACAGGCACCCCAAAATATGTGCAATTTCAATTTTACTTAGTAGTCAGGCAGCAGTAATCTCACTAAGACATGTATTTATTCCTTAGTAGTGATAAAGCTCCAATACATTCAAGACAAATGAACACTTTACTACTGTAAAGATTAAATTGGTTACATAGCTATTCCGATTCTGTAGTGCAAATCTGGTGGTGTCCCCTTGGGGCAGTGCATGCTCCACAGGTTAATGGACACGGTTCACAGCAAACCTGTCCCCAACTTCAGATGCCAGCTGCAAGTGGGATCCCTGCACTTCTGACCAACTAGCTACAAATTGTGTGTGTGTGTGTTTGGGGGTTATTAGTGCTCCCCACACCTCCCCCCACCTCATGTTTGACAACTCCCTAGAACAACTCACAGAAGCACTGTATTTATGATCACAGTTTTATTACAAAGATTGCAATTAAATACCAGCAAAGAGATCGCACAGAATGAGATCTAGGAGGGCTCCAGATACAGAGCTTCTGTGTTCTTTCCCCATGGAATGAGAATGTGTTATCCTCCTAGCATATTGATAAATCTGTTAGATAGAAGCTCCACTGAGCATTGGTATCCAGAGTTTGTTCCTTTACTACGAAGCCTGATTGATTGAATCTCCAGTTCCCTTCCTCTTCTTTTCCTTCCCTTGACTTCACTTTCCCTCCCTAAAGGTCAGGCTATCCTAAATCCCCAGCCCTTTGATCACATGTTGATCTTTCTGGTGACTGGCCCCCATCCTGATTCATCTCATCTTAAAGCCTGAACTCAGGTGTGATCGGAGGGGCTCATGAATAATAAGACACTATTAGGACATTCCAAGGATGTAGAGACTTTCTCAGAGGAGCCAGGGGCAAAGGCCAGTCAGATTATTTTTACAACAGGAGCATAGGCATTAGTCTGCTTACAGTGATTCCTTGTCTGTTGCAAACATTTGCTTTTACATTTTAAGGGACGTTTTAATCATAGCAAGTATCTTTCTTTTCCTCTAGGAGTCTGGAGCACCTATTCTTACAGATGATGTTAGTTTACAAGTGTTTATGGATCACTTGAAGAAACTTGCTGTGTCAAGTGCTGCTTGAAGTGCTAAACATATTAAGGACTCTTAAGAGGATGAAATAATATTTCAATTTCCTTTTTTTCCTTTTTCATTTTATCTGTGGAATCCAACAGAGGTATCTCTCTAGACTCTATGGTTTAAGACAACATGTGGAAAAATGTTCACATTTGTAGATTAAGCTGGAATATAAGAGCAATAAGAACAAATTTATTTTGCTTGCCACAGTATTATGACTGGGTTTAGAAATCTGAGATCTTTATAACTTAATTATGTTAGAGAGTAAAAATAGAGTTGGCCTTGTACTACAGAGATAGAACTCATTTGTGTATTGCAGAAAAATCCAAAGTGGCACTGAATGTCCTTGCTGATTTTTTGAAAACTTGTTTCTTGGTTTTAACCAGAAAGTAAACAAAATCATCAATAGTTATGATAAATGCGAACATTTTTGCCTGTTTATTGAAATATATCTGTGATTTTCAAGCACTTATGCATATACTTTTTCTGTACTTATTCTGTTAAGGCAGATTTATTTTTATGATGATTTGTTTAGGAATTATTTGACTTTATATAAGGTAATTTTCATGAAGATAATTTAATGTTTTTGGTCATTTGGAAAAATAGTTTAGAGATGAAAAGTTTCTGGGGTAACAGTTCCATAACTGACAAAAAATGTGGAATTCCCATAAAGTACCCAACTTACATGATTAAACATGATAATTTTTTTAAGAAGGGTGATTGAAAATAAACCATTTTGTCATAATGCATTTTAGGAAGTCTGCAGTAAAATAACTGTTGTCACTACTAAACCAAAATTGATTTTTACTGCATGGTTATGTTCTTTCCCCTTGTTTTTCTGAGGTAAATTTTACATTATATCCTACAGTATTTTAACACTATTTTGGGAGTTTACATATTACTTCTTATTTTTGCTTCCATTTTGTGAAATGTATTAAGTTGTTCTCATTGAAACAGTATTATATAATATTTTGTTGAATGATATCATGTGATGCTCAGTTTTATTTTGATTTATTCATTAGTATCATTCACTTTTACCTTTTAAAGTTTACTTGTAGCAAATGTTTACATTGCTAAAGCCAGATGTTTGACAATGAAATTTATATCAAGTACTGCAAATAAAAGGTGGTGCTATGATAAATGCTTAGAAGGACAGTTTGATGATTGTACTTGCATGAACACAATCATATGATAAAACAGAAACTTAAAAAAATGTTTATATGTTATATTCAATTAAATAAATTGCTCTGTTCCATTTTATTTGATTTGAACTGTGCTAGGCCTAAATACCAATAAAATATACTTTTTCTGTGTTTTCCTGCTTATTTCGAAGTCTAGTAAAGCCTGAGAAGCCTAATGTGGAATTAGAGCAGTTATAAAACCTGCTATGAATAGATTACAAAGTGTTCATTTTTTTTAAATGGCAGCTTTATTGAGATATAATTCACATACCACATAGTTCACACATTTAAAGTGTACAGCTCAGTGGTTTTTAGAATACTCAGAGTTGTGTGATCATCACCACAATCAATTTGAGAGCATTTTCATCTTCCCCAAAGTAGTTTTTGCTATAAGGAAATTGTGTTTTGGAGTTAGCATATTTTGAATTGAATTAAGCCCCCGTGATGGTGATACATGTTTAATTTGCGTGGCCCCTTAATTTATGCTCTTTAAGAACACATTGCTATTCTTTTTTTTTTTTTTAATTTATTTGACAGAGAGAGATCACAAGTAGATGGAGAGGCAGGCAGAGAGAGAGAGAGAGGGAAGCAGGCTCCCTGCTGAGCAAAGAGCCCCATGCGGGACTCGATCCCAGGACCCCGAGATCATGACCTAAGCCAAAGGCAGCGGCTTAACCCACTGAGCCACCCAGGTGCCCCCACATTGGTATTCTTGAGTGATAAGTCAGTACTTGCCCCCACACTGTGCTTTCCTTCCAAATCAATTACAGCTGAAGCTGCTAAAGTACCTCTGTATTTAAGGATAAGGAGGAACAAATAGAGCATCATACCCTTTTAACTTACCCTGTTATTCATATATTCACTTAAAAATATTTGAGTGCTTACTATATGCTAGGTTGAGTTACTAAATGCAGGAATTTAATTCAAGAAGTTAGGTTATTCATATATTCACTTAAAAATATTTGAGTGCTTACTATATGCTAGGTTGCACTAGGAAATTATTTTAAAAATATAAAAAGTGAGGTGGGAGAGACTTTTAAGATAAATTTGTGTAATTTCGTTGATCAAATCCTCTAGGTTTTATGATTATTCTTATGTCTTTAATGATATGATGGTAATGATGATTCTAGAACCTGTAGCTTATTCCAGAGTATGGTGTCTAATAATTAGGACATTCTGTCCAAAGAAAATCTCTTGCTTAAATATCATCTCATTCTCCTGTAGCTTTTTTTGAACATAGATACAGTTAATTATAAAGATGTATATTTAGAAAGGTAATAATAAAGTCATACATTTAGATTTCTTAGCAAACTGTTCCACTTACTTTAGCCAACTATTAAATAAACAGTTTTTCTATTTTGAAGTTAAAATTGTCTGTTTTACCACTTATAAGTATGCAATGACTGTATTTAAAAATATTTAAGAATGGTCAGCATAAAGAGAATTTTTATAATATCACCTGATTAATGATCTCCCATGATTCCTTTATTATTGTGTTTGTAAAAAATATTGTATAAAGCATTTTGTTACTATAATTGTTTTTAGTAGTTTGTCATAGCGTCTTCTTTCCTGGAAAATATGTATTGTTAATGTGATGGTCTAGCTATGTATTAGGTTTTATAGTTCTTTGAATCAGGAAAGAAAGTGTTAGAGATTTATTTTTTCTTATTTCAGAGTAATACATGTAAATTATAGATACTTGAAAAATGTACATAAGTGTTTAGAGGAAATTTGGAATTGTACAGTCTCTACTGTCTGCTCCTGTTAAATTCCAACCTTCCCATTTAATCCATGAATCCCATTAGCTTCATTTACTTAAGAGTTTGCTTTTGGAGTTATTCTCTTTCTTCCATCATCCCTTGCTCTTCCTCTGGATCATTCTCATTAGCAAAGAAATCTGAGTCACATTCACGTTAAAAACCAACAGACAGGGTGACTGGGTTATGGACACTGGGGAGGGTATATGCTATGGTGAGTGCTGTGTAGTGTGTAAGCCTGATGATTCACAGACCTATACCCTTGGGGCTAATAATACATTATATGTTAATTAAAAAAAAAAAAGAAAAAAAAAACCCAACAGACAGAACCACTCTTGACTTCACATTTTCTCTAATTGCCACCCATTTCTCTGGTCTCAGTTGCAGCTAAACTCAGAAAGTTACCTGTTGTCTCTATGATGATCACACCTCACATTCTCTTCTCAACCTACATTATTCAGATTCTTGTCCTTAGCATTACACTGAAACAACTCTTACCAGGTCACCAATGGCCTATGTCTTGCCAGAACTCTCGACAGCATTTATTTACCTAATGAGGACTCTACTCGAAAACCTTTTGTTTAAAGCTTCTCTGACACCTGCAATACCTACTGGTTTTCCTCCTAATCACTGCCTGTTCCTTCTCAGTTTCCTTTTGCTGTCTTCTCCTTTTCAGATCTTTTGAAGTGTAGGCATGCTCCGGGGCCCAGTCTCTGGCATTTGCTCTGTATTCCCTCTGTGGTGTAGATACATACTGTGATGCGATATGATCACATAGCTTTCATTACCATCTTCATGCATGTGATATCAAAATTTATGTCATTAGTTCTGGCCACTCCCTTACATTTCCTACTCTGAACTGTTTTTCCATCTCTAAATTTGCTCTTTCCCAAGCCTCTCCCCTCTTACTCAGTGGGGCCATCATCAGGCTTAGGAGTGGAAATTTCCTGATTTCCTCTTGGCTCTACTCTGTTTTTTAATTGTTGTCTCTGTTTTTGTGACTTCTTAGAAAATTAAAATGTACTGTAAGAATTCATGATAGCCTATGGTGAGTGTGTGAAGTGCGTAAACCTGGCGATTCACAAGACCTGTACCCCTGGGGCTAATAATACATTATATGTTAATAAAAAAATTAAAAATTTAACATAAAAAAAGAATTCATGATAGCAAGATGTTTTCGAGTTATAAGATATAAATTTAAAATGTTAAAGATATTCTCAAAAGGTCTGTTTTGTAACTTTATTTATTTTTCCATCCTCTTGTTCTCTCACTGTTTTCTTCTGTTAGCCGGTTCTTCTTGATAGCAGCAGCATTCTTGCAGATCGCATTCTTCTCATGGACACGTTCTTCCAGATTTTGATTTATCATGGTGAGGTAAGATTCCATGACATTGAAAGCTATGCACATAGGTGCAATAGAGTCTTTTTATTCATGGAAGCTTTCTCTTCTTTACTGAATGACTACTGTTTCTTCTCTAATAAACTTTTATTTCCATTTTTATATAATAGGTATAAAATATGGTTCTTCCTGCCACAGGTTTTTAGACTTCATTTGCAGTTGACCTACCTGTGCTTGTTTTGTCCATTTGTCCATGTACGATTTGATAAATGGATTTTACACAAAGCATAGTGCTGTGAAATTAAAAGCATTGATGTGTACATAGGCATGCCATACTTCTGGTTTTTACCTGAGACATTGAGAAGGGAAAAGCCTTTGTCAGTAGGGAGGGTCTCCCTTTCATTATTTGATGTAATCATTTAAAAAGTATTCCATTTAATGCACTGAAAGTACTTAAAAAATTTATTCCACATGATCTGAAAACTCATTTAAAGCATAAGTGAGGGGCACCTGGGTGGCTCAGTGGGTTAAAGCCTCAGGTCATGATCCCGGGGTCCTGGGATTAAGCCCTGCATCAGGCTCTCTGCTCAGTGGGGAGCTTGCTTTCTCCTCTCTCTCTCTGCCTGCTTGTGATCCCTGTCAAATAAATACAATCTTAAAAAAAAAAATAAATCATAAGTGAATTAGAAGTAAAATTTATACCTTTACTTAATTGGAATGGTACATGACTGAAAAGAGCAGAATATCTGAGTAGCCATTAAGCTTTAGTCCAAGTATTTAGCAGAACTCTGTTCATTCCTGCATTATTTGTTCAGCCAGTAATTAAAATGTTTTCTCTGTGTAAGAAAGCATTGTATTCTGGATGCCTTGAAAGATACAAAGATTCTTTTTTTACAGACCAACACTCAAACTTCTAGTCTAGAATTCTAGTAACTTGTGCAGACTTATTTTTCCTATTATTTTAATTATAAATGATTTTAGATTTGTACAGTAATTGTGGAGGTGTACTCAAAATATCCTTTTAAGTAATATGATCTACGCCTTTTAAAAGATTTATTGATTATTATTTTTAATTGGTACCAGTACTAATATATATATGTATATATTAAGATTTTATTTATTTATTTGACAGAGAGAGAGATCACAAGTAGGCAGAGAGGCAGAGAGGAGGGGGAGGCAGGCTCCCTGCTGAGCAGAGAGCCCGATGTGGGGCCTGATCCCAGGACCCTGAGATCATGACCTGAGCTGAAGGCAGAGGCTTTAACCCACCAAGCCACCCAGGTGCCCCTGTAATTTAATTTTTAAGGATAATGCCTATTATATGACAGAGAGAGGTATTTTGCTGCCTTTTTTTTTTTTAAGATTTTATTGATTTATTCGACAGAGAGAGATCACAATTAAGCAGAGAGGCAGGCAGAGTGAGAGGGGGAAGCAGGCTCGCCGCCGAGCAGAGAGCCCGATGTGGGGCTTGATCCCAGGACCCTGGGACCACAACCTGAGCCGAAGGCAGAGGCTTTAATCCACCCAGCCACCCAGGCGCCCCTGCTTTTTTTTTTTTTTTAAATAGCTTGTTAATGTGCTTAAAGGAGAAATCTGAAATGCACATCACTGTTCCTCTGTTAAATACAGGAATATAAAGCCATATAGAGTATATATTGACTGATGCAGTTAAGTTAGAAATGAAGACAAATTTAAATTTTTGGATGATTTAATTACATGATTTTTGGAGCCATTTGCCTTAATAAAAGAATTGATTGAGATGCTCTACTACAGGTCTGTTGTCTTTATAATGTTATTGCTATCATCACTAAATTTTTTCTGTTTATCTATCTTGCCAGAATGTAAAGCCATTGATAAAGACTTTGTAATAGTAGGTGGTTAATTTTGAAGTCTCTGGGAAATCTTCTGTTAACAGAAGTCCCCCTTGTTCATCATAAACTTAAATAAATAGGTTTTAGCTAATAATATAATGTTTAAAATTTTTTCTGGTTTATTATTTCTTTTTACTTTTAAAGGAGAAGAAATGCTCTAATTTTGTATCTATTTACCCAAGGATACAAAAATTAGTGTTCTTGATTTGATAACTGATAAATGAAACAATGATTATAATTTTCTTATTTTCTGAGGATCAATTCCTTTGGAAAAACCTCTTAAAGGTTTTGGGTTGGCAAGAAATTAATAATTCCTTTAATTGCTTTAAAATTAGACCATTGCACAGTGGCGCAAGTCAGGATACCAGGACATGCCAGAATATGAAAATTTCCGCCATCTTCTACAAGCCCCGGTGGATGATGCACAGGAGATTCTTCACTCCAGATTTCCGATGCCGAGATACATCGACACTGAACATGGAGGTAGCCAGGTGAGTATAGTTAATGTTTTGTTGTTAGTATTGTAATGAGTTGTTCCTACTTGCTTTCTTGACTTTAATTTGAAAAGACTGCTTCATAAGGCAAGGAAAGGGGAAGAAGATGGGTAAAAGGTTTTTTTTTTTGTTTTGTTTTAGCATTGAGAGCAAAGCAGTGATTATTGGCCAGCTGCCTAAAGCTAGCAATTTCCACCACCTTCTGCCACCAGCCCACATTTAATAACAGAGCCAGGATGATGTTATGGTGGCACGTCTGCTTTAGTTGAGCAAGAAGAACAACTTGGAAGAAAATGTAGTGTACCTTTCTTAGTATAATTCCGTTAATTCTGTTTATTTAGTGAAGAAGTCTATGAATATGAACTTTACGGTAACATTTTCTGTTTTCCTCATTTTGTCATTTCAGTGCTCTAGAAAATGTCATGTAATGGGAAAGTATATTACAGAAGGCTTTGTGGTTTTTAGAGTTAGGAGGATTTAATAAGGTACATGTACATATACACATAGCCCTTCAGGACCTTTCAGAAGGCTAGGCTTAAGACCCCGTAACATATACTGTTTTATTTATCTATTTATTTGTTCATTTATTTATTTTAAATTTTTTAATTAACATATAATATATTATTTGCCCCAGGGGTACAGGTCTGTGAATTATCAGGCTTACACATTTCATAGCACTCACCATAGCACATACCCTCTCCAATGTCCATAACCCAACCAGTCTCTCCCTACCCTTCTTCCCCCAGCAACCCTCAGTTTGTTTTGTTAGATAGAGTCTCTTATGGTTTGTCTCCTTCCTGATCCCATCTTGTTTTTTTCCTTGCCAACCCCCCCAAAATTCCTCATTTCAGAGAGATCATATGATAATTGTCTTTCTCTGATTGACTTATTTTGCTTAGCATAATACCCTCTAGTTCTATCCACATCATTGTAAATGGTAGGATTTCGGTTTTTTTTTGATGGCTGCATAGTATTCCATTGTATATATATACCACATCTTCTTCATCCATTCATCTGTTGATGGACATCTAGGTTCTTTCCATAGTTTGGCTATCCCTTAACATATACTCTTTTTTTTTTTTTTTTTAAAATCCCTTAACATATACTCTTAAAATAATTTTTATTTCTTCCTTGTAATTTTATTAGAACTATAATAAATTAATTATAGGTTATTGTAAGTTTGTTTCACTTGCTAAAGGCAGGGACCTTGCTTTGATTATTGTTTCCCTAGTGCTTAGCACAGTATTATAAAATAGGTGGTAAATATTAGTAGCTATTATTCAGAAATGGTAGCAGTTATTTTTAGAGCTTTATTATATTTCTAATAAGAGATACCATGTATTGAGAATTTGTAAAGCTGTTAGTACTTTATACACCTTATCTCATTTGATCCTCATAACAGTGCTATTGTTATCTCCATTTTACAGATAATAACACCAAGACTTAGGTTACTTGTGGCCAAGGAAACACAGTAAATGGAGAAGCTAGTATTTGAATCTAGGTGTTCTCACTTCAGAGCCAGTGCTCTGGTGTTAAACTACTTACTCATAGAGTAGAAAAAGATTTTATGTGATACTAAATTTCAGAAGATATGACTGCCTGTGTTTTTCCAGTGTGAAATAATAATTTATGCCTAGTTCTTTCCTTGATGTCTCATCATGTGTGGTGCTATTTTCCTCTTTTATTCTGGTTTTCATGATTATAAGTCTTAGTGGAGAGATGGTTAAAATGTTGGGTAAGTTGTCTTATGGAATAGCCTACAGTCTAAGAAAGTTTGAGAGTCATTGTTTAAAGTAAAAGAATGTATAAGATACCCTTTGCTTTTTCAAGTCTCTGATGATGTTTCAGACCAGGTATTTAGTACATTCCACACTAATCTTGTTGCACACATAAATTTTATCTGCTCAGTTTTGGATTCAACAGTTTATTATTTGTTGTTATGAATGTATGATTTGGAGAGAAGAGACTGCATTTATTTATTTGTAACATGTAGTGGCCCACATATTTCCAAAATTTAGTTTATTTTTTTGAAAGTTGCCTTTTAATAAAATTAATTTTACCAAAACATATTAAATAAAGTTGATTTTAGATCGCATAATGTGTTCAGTTCATATTGATTAAATCTCTTTTTGATGGATAACGTTATTTCATCTTTGTTTTTAAGGCCCGTTTCCTGCTTTCAAAAGTCAACCCTTCCCAGACTCATAATAATATGTATGCCTGGGGACAGGTAAGTGTAAATAGTGGATATTGGAAATTACTTCTTGTGTATTTATAGTTTGTTATTTTAGTGAGAGCTATATTTTCCCCTATGTATTTGCTAATGATTTCTTTTGGCAGAGTAATGAAAAAATGAGTAGAAAATAGAATTAGCATTTGGTGGCATCAGAGAAAATAAAAAGTGATCATATCAAATAGGTAGAATTACTTCATATTCCTAGTTTAGGACTACGCCCTTGAGATAAAAAGCAATATAGTGTATAATATAGGGAGTGACGATTTAAGCTTAATGCTAAGACATGAACTATAAAAGGCCACATATAATAAATTGGAAGAGGTCAGGGATTGTAATTGAACAAGAGAGGCGGAGGTCTGGAAATCTCTGTTAATATATTTTGATTTGTTACAAGTCCTACCTCTTGGTACAATATATCAGCATTTATCAAGTATCCAATATACAGGACTCTGTATTGGTACTTTCCAGTCCATAATGATCATCCTTGCTTTTTTTTTTTTCTTTTTAATGTTTCAACTTTTTAGTTTAAATTCCAGTTAGTTAACATATAGTGTAATACTGCTTTCAGAAGTAGAATTTAGTGATTCATCACTTTGATCATCTCTGCTTTTAAGGAGCTGGTAATCTAGCATTAGAGATAATACACGTATCTTTAAGTAATTAAAATATAAGTCAGTATGAGATATGTTCCTTTTAGAAAGATATTTAGAAAAATATCACAGGGTTTAGCAGAGGAAGAGGGCTTTGAAGAGAGCACATGGTGGCAGCAGGAGACTGTCTGTGATCAGAAAAGGCAACATTTCCTTTTAGAATGGTTACCATTTCAAGAAGTAGAAATTGTGCGAGGAATTCCAGGTAGAGGGCAGTGTAGACTGTGTGAGGTACATAGCACACAGGATGAATAGAACAATAAACTGGAAATGTATCATGTGGCTAAATTGTGGAGGATCTTACATGCCAGGTTGAATGCTGAGGAGCTGAGTCTTTATTTAGTAAATAATAAAATGTTACTGAAGGTTTTTGGACAGGGTCAAATTTGAGTCTTAGATAATATAGGTGAATGTTAGGGTTAATTGAGAGCAGTATGTAGATTGAAACTATATTTTGAAGTAATCCAGATGAGGGTGAATGAAGGCAGGATGGTGAAAAGGAATATATTTTGGTGATATTTTAGGAGTGGAACCAGTGAGATTTGGTTAGAAGTTGCAGGAAAGTAAAAATTACTCTAAAGCAAGACAGCTAAATGCAAAATCTGAATTCTTTTTTTTTTTTTTTTAGATTTTATTTATTTATTGGACATAGAGATCACAAGTAGGCAGAGAGTCAGGCAGAGAGAGAGGGGGAAGCAGGCTCTCTGCTGAGCAGAGAGCCCGATGCGGGGCTCGATCCCAGGACCCTGAGATCATGACCTGAGCTGAAGGCAGAGGCTTAACCCACTGAGCCACCCAGGCGCCCCCCAAATCTGAATTCTGATTGGACTCTGGATTAGAGAAAATAACTATAAAGAACATAATTGGGATAACTTGTGAAATCTGAATATGGACTCTATATCAATTACTAGTATAATACTATCACGTTTCTTGATTGTGATACTATTGTTGTAGTTATATAGGTGATTGTCCATGACCTTGGAGATCTATCCTAAAGGGAGTAAAATATCATGATGTCTTCAACTTATGGAAATTACTCAACAAAAGAAAGAAAAGAAAAGGAAACATATATAGAAACATAAAGCAAATGTGGCAAAATGTTAATCATTGAGTTTAGGTATAGGGTATGTGGGTGTTCATTGTACTTTTTTCTCAACTTTTCTACAAGTTTGAATTTTTAAAAAATAAATAGTTGAGGGAGAACAAGGTAATACAGGATTTTGAGCCTGGGTAACTAGGAGAACGTGTGCCAGGGAGTGGGAAAGCAGAGAGAAATGTTTGATTTCAGGTACACTGAATTTGAGATAACATTTAGATGGCCAAATTGAGGAGGCTATTAGAAATTTGGGTTTGGTGATCAGGGCAAGGATGTGAAAATTGATCATGGACAAGTGATACTTAAAGTCATCACAGCGGATACTTGTTCAAGAGGGAGTAAAGAGGCAAAAGAAGGATGAGATAAACCTTGAGGAATTACAAGTGGTTGGAGTATTTTATAATAGAGAGGTGGAAGGAAAATGAAAATAATACCATACCATGGGGCGCCCGGGTGGCTCAGTTGTTAAGCGTCTGCCTTCAGCTTGGGTCATGATCCCAGGGTCCTGGGATTGAGCCCCATATAGGGCTCCCTGCTCGGCGGGAAGCCTGCTTCTTCCTCTAACACTCCTTATGCTTGTGTTCCCTCTTTGCTGTGTCTCTCTGTGTCAAATAGATAAATAAAATCTTAAAAGAAAAAAAAGAATACCATACCATGTCATAATAGGTGAAGGAGGGCTTTATAGAAAGAAGAAAGGGGGTTAACAAATTCTGAGATGCTGCAGACCTTAAAGGAGGGTGAAGACTTAGAAAGGTGGATGGATTTGAAGACTAGACGGTCATTTGTGGTCCTGGTAAGCAGTTTTAAGTAGTAGTTGAGTACAAGGCAGATCATAAGGAATTAGTGGCGGTAAAGGAGTGGAGGTTGTAAGGAGGTTGCAATCTAGTTTGAGTTCGGGTGGTAGGATAGAAAGATGATTCTTATTAGGATAAGGGCACAGAACTTACTTGTAGTCCAAGTGTAAGGTGCTGACCAAAGAACAGCTTATAGATGTTTAAGATCTTCAAAAGCAGACAGTGTGATCACAAGCACTGTGTGGAGTTGAAGCATTGGTACAGAGGCAGGACATTCCTTCTACGGAACCAAATGGTAGGAAGGGTAATGACAGAGAAAGATGTTGGGGACAGAACGCTCATATTGGGTAATTGCCTGTTTCTTTTAGATAATAGTGGATTATTCATTAAGAGTGAGACATGCTAGGGCTAAAGGACTAGAAAATAGAAAAGATTTAAAAACAGCTATATGGAATAGCTGTTTAGAAATAGAAATAGAAAGCAACAGCAGGCGAGTAAAAGGCTTTTATAGCAGTGAGGACCCATTTTATTTCCTAACAATTTCTAGAGTTTGCTTCCATTATGTTTAACCATGCTTTGTAGTTCAGGCATTGCATCAAAGGTGGAAGATTTTGGGGGTGATTTAGTGCTGGAGATAAGAAAGATGGACACATTAAAGGGAGTGCAATAATTTAGAGCAATGTTAAATGACTATGAGGTCCAGGTTGGGTAGAAGATGTAGTAATTAGGATTAAGGCCCCTTCCCTCTAAATACAGAGGTGCTTCAAAATGTTGCCCTGATTTCTTTGCATACATTGTTTTTCTGGGTGATTACATACACCCCTATGGCTTCAGCTTTCATCTGAGGCTAACTTAACAAATCTCCATCTTTGGTTTGACTTCACCTTGAGCTGTAGATTGGAATTTCTGTAACTGTCTGTTACACATCACTGGAGCTTCCTTTAGACATTTCATAAGCAACATGTTCCAACTTGAATTTATCTCTTTTATACCATCTTATTCTGCGTGACTTTCCTATTTTTACAAAGGGCGACACTACTCTCTCAGTTCCCAAGACTTGGAACTTTAGTCATTTGCATTTTATTTTCTCCCTTCTATCCCTAATTATTCACAAATGGTTTGGTCTCTTTCTCCTATCCATTATCTCCTTTTTCTGTCACTAACTGAGGTCAAGCGCTTGTTACTTTTAACATAGACTGTCAGTGCTTTTAGCCCTGTTTCTTCCATTTTGACAGTGGCCACAGTGGTCTGGAAGCAGTTCTAAGTCAAGAGAACTGTGTAGAAATCTTTAATCTTTGCGGCACCTGGGTGGCTCAGTTGGTTTCGTGTCTGACTGTTGGTTTCGGCTTAGGTCATGATCTCAGAGTCGTGAGATCAAGCCCTGGGTCGGGCTCTGTGCTCAGCGCAGTCTGCTGAAGATTCTCTCTCTCCCTCTGCCCCTCCCCCGGCTCATGTGCTTGCTCACTCTTAAATAAATAAATAACATAAAATTAAAAAAAAAAAAAGGAATCTTTAATCTTTAATAATCCCCTTTGGAATTACATACAGACTCTTTATACTGCTTTTGAGGGTTCTTTATTGCATAATCCAAAGAAGTTTTCTCACTTTTAGCTATAATTTTAGAATTTCTTATTCTTTGAATACAGTAAGCATGTTACCATCTTTGTGACTCGTCCCTATCACCACATGGTAGCCATCGTTTAAGGCTGAGTTCAGAGTTCATTGACTCCACGAAACTTTCTCTTTCTCTTTTTCTTTTTTCTTTTTTTAAAAGATATTTATTTGAGAGAGAGAGAGCACAAGCAGTGGGGAGGGGTAGAGGGAGAAGCAGACACCTTGCTCACCAGGGAGCCTGATGTGGAGCTCAATTCTAGGACCCTGGGATCATGACATGAGCCAAAGGCAGACGTTTAACTGACTGAGCCACCCAGGCACCATCCATGAAACTTTTTCGATGATTACATGACTCATTTGGTATAATATGCCTGCCCCTTCATTCCTTTTTTTTTTCATCCATTTCTGATGTCCCTAAGGAGTGATGACTGTGTCATTTTAATTTTTGACTTTCCACAGTGCCTTAACATAGCATGTATTGAGTATAGTAGATTTGGGCAGGAGAACAGAGATTAGAGTATTGGAGCTTTGTGGAGGTATTTAAGAGTTAAGGAGCCTTTATGATATAGATAAAAAAAATTGAATCCATGATCTAAAACTCCTGAAAGGTAAGGTTTTTATAGCAAGGAAAGGAGCTTATTCTTGGGAAGTGTGGAAGGGGTATAGCATGTGAGAGAAAAAAATTATGCCTGTGTAATGCATATACACATTATCAATATCAACCTTGCCATTCCACTTGCTATGAAATGAAAAGTCAAGTATACTATTATGACATGGAAGTTTGGAATACAGAATGTACCATGAATCAGCCTTTCCGTTATGGTTGAGTCATCTGGGTATTGGACTTAGTTCTGGATCTCACAACTTAAGAGAAACTTACTTAAGAAAATTGCAAGAAGATAGGAAAGTAGGACCAATTACTAAAGTTCATGGAAATGGTGATTAGTCATAATGAAGAAGGGGAAGTTAAAAGACGCTTTAAAATAGTATTCATCAGGGGTTCCCTATCAACTGCCCTTAGAGGCCAGGGGAGTAACAAATGGGTGAAGTTCTTTTTAGAAAATCTCATACTCTCAGTGTGAAGAGGCAATACTTGGGGGTTAGGGGACTCGGGTGGACTACGGTTTGTAGGAAAAACACAGATATCCTTTTTTAGAAGGGGTAGCTGTTCCTCCCCTCTAGCTGATTGTTGTCATTTACATAATTTGTTTTAACAAAGTGTTGTGAGCCCACATTAATGCAGATCAAATAAAATACATCTTTGTGACTGAATTTGTACATTATTAAAAAGCATGGTTTAGTTCATGGAGATAAAACTTGGTTCTTGCTTCTCTGGGTTTAAATTACAACATGGGGGTGCCTGGTTGGCTCAGTCAGTAAGCTTGTGACTCTTGATCTTGGGTTGTGAGTTCAAGCCCCATATTGGGTTTGGGGCCTATTAAAAAAAAATTATAACATGGAGATGTAGTTGGTATGTTTATAAAGAACTTGTTGAGCTGGTAAACATGGAGAGGCATCATTCTGGGCTGGTAGTTGAAAACTATAAGTTACTTATCATTGCCTTTTCTTCTTTGTCTATTATAGAGTTTAATAATATGTGCAGTAAGACTCAGTAAATATTAGGTATTAGTTTTCCTTGTTATCAATGGGGAAAAATAAGTCTTAAGATATTTTATTTTTATTTTTAATAATTTTTAAAAAAGATTTATTTATTTATTTGACAGAGACATAGAGGGAGAGGGAACAAAAGCAGGGAGAGTGGGAGAGGGAGAAGCAGACTTCCTGCCAAGCAGAGAGCTGGATGTGGGGTTCGATCCCAGGACCCTGGGATCTTGACCTGAGCCGAAGGCAGATGCTTAACAACTGAGCCACCCAGATGCCCCAGGATATTTTATTTTTAAAGATTTATTTGTTTATTTTAGAGAGAAGGGGAGAGGATCTCAAGCATACTCCCTGATGAGTGTGGAGCCCGATATAGGACTCAGTCCCATAACCCCTGAGATCATGACCTGAGGTGAAATCAAGAGTTGGTTGCCTAACTGACTGAGCCACCTGGGTGCCCCAAAGATATTTTAAAATAGGAAAGAAAACCTATTTTAAACTTTGAAGTTTAATTATTATGACCTGTAAGTAGAGGCATTAGAGGCATAAATGAGAGCCCTAAGGTCTTTATTGGCCTATGCTTTTTGTAAGAGAAATTATGTTAATATTTATTTGCTTATTTATTTGACAGAGAGAGACAGCGAGAGAGGGAACACAAGCAGGGGGAGTAGGAGAGGGAGAAGCAGACTCCCCACTGAGCAAGGAGCCTGATGTGGGGCTGGATCCCAGGAGTCTGGGATCATGACCTGAGCCGAAGGCAGATGCTTAACAACTGAGCCACCTAGGCGCCCCAGTGTTAGTATTTTTATAGATAATAATAATAATAACTGATAAACTGAATCTGTACTGTTTTAGTTCCCATGCTGAGCTTCTTATGCACTTCTGTTTAATCATTAAAACACTCTCATGGAGTGGTAACTATTAACTCTATTTTTCAGAAGAGGAAATTAGGCTTAAATAGCGTAAATAACTTAGCCAAGATCACATAGCTAAACCGTGCAGGGTTTGGACTTAACTATACGCCATCTGACTGGAGAATATGAATTTTTAATCATTAAGCTAAATCGATGATTGCAGTTTAGGGAGTTAACTTGGTAGCCAAGCATTTTACTAAAAATTATACAATCTTGCACTTTAGTTTTCTTTTTGTCAGAAATCAAGTACCCAGTGGTAAGTTTTATCCGTAGATGGCCTGAAGAGGGCACCACTGCAACACTGCTTCCCCACTGCTTCTGTGCTTCATACACTGAGTGATAGAAAAGCTTGGATCTTACTGCCCAATCATGGATATAGTTGAAGAAGAAAAAAGGTGCAGTTGAAAAATTAAGATCAGCTGCAAATTTTTGATAAGTTTGAGTTGAGCATTAGTATTTGTAATTTCAAATAAGATCTCTACAGTATATAAATTAGAAAATTGATGTGTGTTTTGTCTTGACTGGTTGAAATAGATCTGGGATTGGGTGAATTGAGGTGGAAAACGTGTAAATTGAAAGAAAATCAGGAATAGTTACCAAAAAAAAAGGAAGAGCTACCAGCTTATTATGAGTCTAGGTCATATTTTTGAGGCCTTTGCTTCTCTGTGTTAACTGTGAATGTATAATAAGGAAAAATATTTCAGTGTTATAAAATAATATATTTCTCAGAAGAGGTAATAATAGCTCACACGTTTATTCCTGCTGTGTATGTCAGGTATTGTGCTGTTTCTTTACACAGTTGAACTCATTTAATCATTATAACATCCATATGAAATAGGTCCTTTTGTTATCCTTATTTTACAAATGAGGAAACTCAGACACACGGAGGTTATGTAACTTCTCTTCCTCAAAGTCATACAGGCAGTAAGTGGCTGAGTAAAGAATTGAGCCAATGCACTCTGTCTCCAAACTCCAAATTCTTATTCCCAGTGCTGTTGTCTCCCTTCATTGTCTAGTTTTTCAAGTTTTTTGAATTTGAAAAAACATAATAAAATTGATTTTCCTTTATTCAGGAGAGATTATGGCACATCTGTGGCAATACCAGACTAGAATTTTTGAAAGATATAAATCCCAGTCTCCTATTTGTTACTTAGTTGCTGATCTCTGAAAATTACTCATTTGTTTTAGATTTTTTATATTTACTTATAAATGAGAACTTAAGTATCAGGTGAAAAATTTAAAAATCCACATAGAAAATCTTTCAGAAAACTTTTTTCTTGCTACAATAGATTTCACTATTAGTGGTTTGGATTACCAAAGTCATCCTACCAACATAGTTTTTATTAAAATAGAAGTTAGGAATTTTCCTTAACTCTTGTTAATTACTTAGAACCTACAGAGATCAATTAAAATGACTTGAATGAAAATGATAAGCATAGTTTATTTTTTTTTTAAAGATTTTATTTATTTATTTGAGAGAGAGAAAGCACGAGGAGGGGGAGGGCCAGAGAGAGAAGCAGACTTCCTACTGAGCAGGGAGACTGATGTGAACTCGATGGAGGACTCCAGGATCATGTCCTGAGCCGAAGGCAGTCGCTTAACCAACTGAACCACCCAGGTGCCCAGCATAGTTTATTTAAAAAATACTGTAAATATGCTTCCTTCCAGCTGGCATGTCTATTAAAATATGTGCAATTTCTTTGTTTTTATTTTTTTTAAAGATTTTATTTTTTTTTTTTTAAAGATTTTATTTATTCATTTGACAGACAGAGATCACAAGTAGGCAGAGAGGCAGGCAGAGAGAGAGAGAGAGAGAGAGGGGAAAGCAGGCTCCCTGCTGAGCAGAGCGCCCTGATGCGGGGCTTGATCCCAGGACCCTGAGATCATGACCTGAGCTGAAGGCAGAGGCTTAACCCACTGAGCCACCCAGGTGCCCCAAAGATTTTATTTATTTGAGAGAGAGCATATGAACAGGAGGAGAAAGAATGGGGCTGGGGAGAGGGAGAAAGAATCTCTTAAACAGATTCCTCACTGAGCACAGAACCGGACATGGGGCTCAATGCCGAGACTCGGAGACCATGACCTGGGTGGAAACCATTCAGAGAGTTCGAGAATTCAAGAGTCAAATGCTCAATCGACTGAGCCACACAGGCACCCCAAAATATGTGCAATTTCAATTTTACTTAGTAGTCAGGCAGCAGTAATCTCACTAAGACATGTATTTATTCCTTAGTAGTGATAAAGCTCCAATACATTCAAGACAAATGAACACTTTACTACTGTAAAGATTAAATTGGTTACATAGCTATTCCGATTCTGTAGTGCAAATCTGGTGGTGTCCCCTTGGGGCAGTGCATGCTCCACAGGTTAATGGACACGGTTCACAGCAAACCTGTCCCCAACTTCAGATGCCAGCTGCAAGTGGGATCCCTGCACTTCTGACCAACTAGCTACAAATTGTGTGTGTGTGTGTTTGGGGGTTATTAGTGCTCCCCACACCTCCCCCCACCTCATGTTTGACAACTCCCTAGAACAACTCACAGAAGCACTGTATTTATGATCACAGTTTTATTACAAAGATTGCAATTAAATACCAGCAAAGAGATCGCACAGAATGAGATCTAGGAGGGCTCCAGATACAGAGCTTCTGTGTTCTTTCCCCATGGAATGAGAATGTGTTATCCTCCTAGCATATTGATAAATCTGTTAGATAGAAGCTCCACTGAGCATTGGTATCCAGAGTTTGTTCCTTTACTACGAAGCCTGATTGATTGAATCTCCAGTTCCCTTCCTCTTCTTTTCCTTCCCTTGACTTCACTTTCCCTCCCTAAAGGTCAGGCTATCCTAAATCCCCAGCCCTTTGATCACATGTTGATCTTTCTGGTGACTGGCCCCCATCCTGATTCATCTCATCTTAAAGCCTGAACTCAGGTGTGATCGGAGGGGCTCATGAATAATAAGACACTATTAGGACATTCCAAGGATGTAGAGACTTTCTCAGAGGAGCCAGGGGCAAAGGCCAGTCAGATTATTTTTACAACAGGAGCATAGGCATTAGTCTGCTTACAGTGATTCCTTGTCTGTTGCAAACATTTGCTTTTACATTTTAAGGGACGTTTTAATCATAGCAAGTATCTTTCTTTTCCTCTAGGAGTCTGGAGCACCTATTCTTACAGATGATGTTAGTTTACAAGTGTTTATGGATCACTTGAAGAAACTTGCTGTGTCAAGTGCTGCTTGAAGTGCTAAACATATTAAGGACTCTTAAGAGGATGAAATAATATTTCAATTTCCTTTTTTTCCTTTTTCATTTTATCTGTGGAATCCAACAGAGGTATCTCTCTAGACTCTATGGTTTAAGACAACATGTGGAAAAATGTTCACATTTGTAGATTAAGCTGGAATATAAGAGCAATAAGAACAAATTTATTTTGCTTGCCACAGTATTATGACTGGGTTTAGAAATCTGAGATCTTTATAACTTAATTATGTTAGAGAGTAAAAATAGAGTTGGCCTTGTACTACAGAGATAGAACTCATTTGTGTATTGCAGAAAAATCCAAAGTGGCACTGAATGTCCTTGCTGATTTTTTGAAAACTTGTTTCTTGGTTTTAACCAGAAAGTAAACAAAATCATCAATAGTTATGATAAATGCGAACATTTTTGCCTGTTTATTGAAATATATCTGTGATTTTCAAGCACTTATGCATATACTTTTTCTGTACTTATTCTGTTAAGGCAGATTTATTTTTATGATGATTTGTTTAGGAATTATTTGACTTTATATAAGGTAATTTTCATGAAGATAATTTAATGTTTTTGGTCATTTGGAAAAATAGTTTAGAGATGAAAAGTTTCTGGGGTAACAGTTCCATAACTGACAAAAAATGTGGAATTCCCATAAAGTACCCAACTTACATGATTAAACATGATAATTTTTTTAAGAAGGGTGATTGAAAATAAACCATTTTGTCATAATGCATTTTAGGAAGTCTGCAGTAAAATAACTGTTGTCACTACTAAACCAAAATTGATTTTTACTGCATGGTTATGTTCTTTCCCCTTGTTTTTCTGAGGTAAATTTTACATTATATCCTACAGTATTTTAACACTATTTTGGGAGTTTACATATTACTTCTTATTTTTGCTTCCATTTTGTGAAATGTATTAAGTTGTTCTCATTGAAACAGTATTATATAATATTTTGTTGAATGATATCATGTGATGCTCAGTTTTATTTTGATTTATTCATTAGTATCATTCACTTTTACCTTTTAAAGTTTACTTGTAGCAAATGTTTACATTGCTAAAGCCAGATGTTTGACAATGAAATTTATATCAAGTACTGCAAATAAAAGGTGGTGCTATGATAAATGCTTAGAAGGACAGTTTGATGATTGTACTTGCATGAACACAATCATATGATAAAACAGAAACTTAAAAAAATGTTTATATGTTATATTCAATTAAATAAATTGCTCTGTTCCATTTTATTTGATTTGAACTGTGCTAGGCCTAAATACCAATAAAATATACTTTTTCTGTGTTTTCCTGCTTATTTCGAAGTCTAGTAAAGCCTGAGAAGCCTAATGTGGAATTAGAGCAGTTATAAAACCTGCTATGAATAGATTACAAAGTGTTCATTTTTTTTAAATGGCAGCTTTATTGAGATATAATTCACATACCACATAGTTCACACATTTAAAGTGTACAGCTCAGTGGTTTTTAGAATACTCAGAGTTGTGTGATCATCACCACAATCAATTTGAGAGCATTTTCATCTTCCCCAAAGTAGTTTTTGCTATAAGGAAATTGTGTTTTGGAGTTAGCATATTTTGAATTGAATTAAGCCCCCGTGATGGTGATACATGTTTAATTTGCGTGGCCCCTTAATTTATGCTCTTTAAGAACACATTGCTATTCTTTTTTTTTTTTTTAATTTATTTGACAGAGAGAGATCACAAGTAGATGGAGAGGCAGGCAGAGAGAGAGAGAGAGGGAAGCAGGCTCCCTGCTGAGCAAAGAGCCCCATGCGGGACTCGATCCCAGGACCCCGAGATCATGACCTAAGCCAAAGGCAGCGGCTTAACCCACTGAGCCACCCAGGTGCCCCCACATTGGTATTCTTGAGTGATAAGTCAGTACTTGCCCCCACACTGTGCTTTCCTTCCAAATCAATTACAGCTGAAGCTGCTAAAGTACCTCTGTATTTAAGGATAAGGAGGAACAAATAGAGCATCATACCCTTTTAACTTACCCTTTGAAAGAAAGCACCTGAGATCTTTGTGTATAATTTAGCTATTACTAAATTGCTAACTATTTAGATTGTTGAAGAAAGAAATGTTTAACCCCCCTTTTTTTTTTTTTTTTAAGATTTTATTTATTTATTTGTCAGAGAGAGAGAGGGCGAGAGAGCAAGCACAGGCAGACAGAATGGCAGGCAGAGGCAGAGGGAGAAGCAGGCTCCCTGATGAGCAAGGAGCCCGATGTGGGACTCGATCCCAGGACGCTGGGATCATGACCTGAGCCGAAGGCAGCTGCTTAACCAACTGAGCCACCCAGGCGTCCCCAATGTTTAACCCTTTTAATGAAATTTAGAGTGGATAAAGAGTATTTGCTAAATTGTTAGCAGCACTGAGAAGCTTTGGTATGTCCACAACTATTTTGGAATTCACTGTTGAACCTACTACCCCTAGTGGTCTTATTTCTAAAAGCAACTTTAGACGTCATCTGTGTACACTTATATTTTGTTATAACAAGATAAAATTATTCTTTTATTGGCTGATTCCAAAAGTGAGCTGATATTTTCTCTATCCAGTGCCCCACTTGATACACTTCCCTCTTACATTCCCTAACCCATGGACTGCACTTAATGAATACTTCTTGTTCTGTCCAGGCCAGAAACCACTGAATCATTTTCAGTTCTTACTCTTTACAACATATTTAATGACCAGACTCTACCAGTTCTGCCTCTCTAACATCTCCCTGTTGTATTTGTTGTTTTTCATTTTATTGCTCTTCTACCTTCATTAGATCGCACGTGGTTGGTACAACAGCCTTCTAACCAGTGTGTTTTCCCCAGTCTCCTCCAGCCCTCTCTTCAATTCACTGAAATACAGATCTGATTATGTCATTCCCTTTGCCCTCATAGTGAAATCCAGACACTTTGACATGGTAGCATTGGATACTACCAAATCAATCGGATCTTAGATCTCACTTAGAAAATTAGCACAAAGGACACAGTTGAAAAGGTATAGTATTGGAGAGGGGTCTCTAGTTCTACCTAAGCATTTAGTCTTAGGTGTGGCATTTGGGATTTAATACAGTGACAAAAGCAAATGCATTCTTCACTGGCTGTTACAAATTAAATGCTGTGGCTTATTACACTTGATTTTATTTTAAATGAAAATAATTATTCAGTTACTTTTCAAACACTACCAACAAATTAGGATTATTTGCTTTCTAATCCCTATATTTGCATTTGTATTTTCATTTTCCATTTTTCCAACATATATGCATACATTTTGTACTTTTATGTGTTTGATTTGTATTCGTCTTGAGCATTTTATCAGGTAATTCAGATGTTTCTCTTGTTTGCTTTTTAATAGCTTATCTTATGAAATTAAAACATTTTCCTTATGTTCATTCTTCCATTCTTTAATAGGGAAACAAACTTTGGTCTAGGCTTAATATATTAATACCTGGTGAATATAATAATCGGTATGCAATACTAGATATGGAATAATGAAGTCACATTACTAAATAAATTCAGAATTTTTTTCTTCCCCATATATGGATTATACTGACATAAAGCCCAATTATTTGGGTTGCGAATGTGACACTGGGGAAGTTTTTCCTCTAAGAAAACATTAAAAAAGCCCCCCAAAACTGTAAAATGTCTAAGCATCTGAAAGAAGTATTAATTTTAGGCTTTGTTAAATCAACATAGAATTAGCTATGTATTTTTGTCTTTTTATTATTACATCTTTTTTTTTTAAGATTTTATTTATCAGAGAGAGAGAACACAAGCAAGGGGAGTGGCAAGCAGAGGGAAAAGGAGGCTCCCCCACTGGGCAGGGAGCCCAATGCGGGACTCCATCTCGGGACTCTGGGATCATGACCTGAGCAGAAGGCAGACACTTAACTAAGCCACCCAGGTGCCCCTAGCTTTTTTTTTTTTTAAGATTTTATTTATTTGAGGGCGCCTGGGTGGCTCAGTGGGTTAAGCCTCTGCCTTTGGCTCAGGTCATGATCCCAGGGTCTTGGGATTGAGCCCTGCATCGGGCTCTCTGCTCAGCAGGGAGCCTGCTTCCTCCTCTCTCTTTCTCTGCCTGCCTCTCTGCCTACTTGTGATCTCTCTCTGTCAAATAAATAAGTAAAATCTTTAAAGAAAAAAAAAAGATTTTATTTATTTGACAGACAACCAGAGAGGGAACACAAGCAGGGGGACTGCGAGAGGGAGAAGCAAGCTTCCCACAGAGTAGGGAGCCAGACATTGGGCTCGATCCCAGTACCCTGGGCAGATGCTTAATGACTGAGCCATCCAGGCGCCCTTCTAGCTATGTATTTTTAAAAGTTAAGGATAACAAAGATCAAACCAGGATATAAAACTTTCAGACCTGAATATATAACTTCCAAACCTGTGGAGGAAAAGAAGCGATAAAAGCAATCTCATAAAAAAAAAAAAAAAAAAAAACACAACAAAAAAGGTGAAAAAGGCAACAAAAGAAAAGCATGGTAAATAAAAGACATAAAAAAGAAAAAATGAGGGGTGCCCGAATGGCTCAGTCGTTAAGCATCTGCTTTCAGCTCAGGTCATGATCCCAGGATCTGGGATCGAACCCCCACATTGAGCTCTCTGCTTGGCGGGAAGCTCGCTTCTCCCTCTCCCACTCCCCCTACTTGTGTTCCTGCTCTCACTTCTCTCTCTCTGTCAAACAAAGAAAATCTTAAAAAAAAAAAACAACCACCCGAATTAATACTTTTTATTTATTTTTAAAGATTTTATTTATTTGTCAGAGAGATAGAGAAAGAGAGAGACAGTGTGTGCACAAGCAGGCAGAGAGGCAGGCAGAGGCAGAGAGAAGCAGGCTCCCTGTGGGACTAGATCACAGGACCCTGGGATCATGACCTGAGCCAAAGGCAGCGGCTTAACCGACTGAGCCACCCAGGCATCCTGGATTAATACGTGAGAATATAAATGAGAATATTTATACTTGAGAATATAAAATTGAGAATATTTAATGGTCTTTCACTGTAATGAACAAAATCATATGTAGTATTTTGAACCTTCTGTAAATTTGTCTTAAGACTTCATAAAAATTGATCTGTTCATGTATCCATGCTTTACTGAGTATAGTTAGACTTGTCAATCTTTTTTCACTGTTGATTGTGAAGAATACATTTCAAAAGCTTTTTTTTCATTTGAAGCAAAAGATACACAAATAGGAAAATGCTCAAAGGTAGGTTTGATATATTCATAAACTATCTTCACAAATTTCATGAATTCCTAAATTCTTAAAACTTTCTTCAAAACTGATGCTAGCAGCTTTCAAAAAGCTTCTTAGTAGAAAGATTTCCACTGCGATATATAAGCTAGACAATTCAAGATAAATTCCTATTATGTTTGATAAAACCCTCCAAAGTCTTGCAAAAATGAGTGCAAATGGCTGAATGATGGTGCACATTGGCATTATTTGATCAATTGGTTTTGAAAAAATGTTCATTTATAGATAAAGACATTTGAATATTGCTGTTTTAATTTCTTCTGGCCATGTAAGACAAACATCTTATGTTACTTTACATGAGTTCTTTGAAATTTGATTCTTCAGTGTAAATGTCTATTCCCTTACATTTTGTTATTGCATATTTAATTGCTTTCTCTACAGTTTCTATGTGCTGATCTAAAGCCTAGTGTCTTACTCTACATCGTACAAGCCTGATTTAGACTGTGTCTACTTTGAGTTTTGATTAACCTCATCTAAAACTTTACACCAAGAGAAATCTCTAAATTTTGCCAATGATTTAATGGTTTATTTTCTTGTTGGTCTTTTAGTTTAAAAAAAAAAACAAAAAAACAACAACCAGCAGTTAAAAAGACAAATTTGACTTGTAAAGATATCAAATTCAGTAAAAGATTCCATGCAGGCACTACAAATGTGCACTTGGAAAAATTACACTTCAAAGTTCACACTCCGTTTTGCTATTTTAACTCCACAAACAAAAAAACTCCCAAGTTTAGACTGAGAGAATCGTTTCTTTGTCTTTGTGATTACTAGGTTAGTGTGGTTTACTTGAACCTATTGTTTAAGCAATGGGATATTTACTACCATGGGTATTGAAGAAATAAACTCTCTGCACCCCCACCTAGGGAGCTGAAATGATTCAAAATGTGTTATTAACTTACCCTCCAAGTTTAAGGGTGTCTATGTATGTTGGGACTGGACTCTATCTAACTGGAAGTTCTCTGAATTAAGTTCCATACAGAACACAATGTTTATTAAAGGATAAGTAATAAAAATGTGCTAATTGGAAGGTTACAAAC